AACCATGGAGAGTAGGTAGCTGATATAACAGCAGGGTGAAACTTCAGTTATGTTGTGTAAAAGATGGAAAAAAGAGAGTATATCCTCCATGATTCTGTTAACATAAAACTCTAAGAAATGAAAATTAATCAGCAGGTACCGGGATTTTTGAGGGTAGGAAAGGGAACTGGGGAGTCAGGCAGCAAAGGGGACATAAACAAACTTGAGAGTGATGGATGTATAGACAGTCGTCCCTTGGTATCATGGAGGATTGGGTACAGGACTCCCCCACCCAACCCCACCCACCACCATCAAAGAAAAAGATACCAAATCCAAGAATACTCAAATCCCTTTATACAAAATGGCATAGTATTTTCATGTATTTCATGCCTATCTTTCTGTATACTTTAAATCATGACAAGATTACTATAATGTAGTTCTTTATTTTTGTGCATCATTTCATTCTTGTGGATTCAGTGTAGACATTCAAATTCTCCGTTTTGGAATTTTCTTATTTTTAATTCAAGCTTATTGAATCACAGATAAGGAACCCACTTATCCAGAGGGCCATCTGTACTTTCTTGTAGTGGTGTCATGGACGTGTGTATTCAGTTTAAATACATGCACACACCTTAAATATATGATGACCAGCATTCAGAACATTAGCAACACCAAATGTTGATGGTGTGGACCAGAGCTCCCGTTTATTGCTGGAAGGAATGCTAAATGCTGTGGCTACTTTGGAAGACTATTTGGCTTTTTTTATTTTTTACAAAACTAAACATATTAACATGTAGCTCAGCAGTTGCACTTCTTGGTATTTATTCAAAAGAGTTGGAAAACTTAGGTCCACCAAACATCTGCACACAAATGATCATAGCAAATTCTTCAGAACTTGGAAGAAACTAATATGTAGGTGAATGGATAAACAAACTGGCACATCCAGACAATGGAGTATTTATTGAGTGCCAAGTGGAAATGGGCTGTTAAGCAGTGAAAAGATATGGAGGGCCCATACATGTATACCACTAAGTGAAAGAAGCCCATCTGAAAAGTCACCTTAATGCATGGTTCCAGCTGCCTGACATTCTGGAAAAGGCAAAACTAAACTATGGTGATAATAAAAAAGAAAACCAGTAATTACTAAGGATTGGTGAGTGGAGGAGGTGGGGTAGAGCATAGAGGATTTTTAAGGCAGTGAAAATGATCTGTACAATACCGTGAAGATGTACACTTTTGTCCAAACCCAAGAGTTTATGGCAACGTCACAGTAAACTGGGCTTTGCGTAATTCAGTGTAGGTTCATTAGTTGTGCCACATGTACCCCTCTGGTGGAGAATGTTGATGTGGGGATAGTTACACATTTTGTGGGGAAGAGTATATGAGAACTCTCTCTACCTTTTCAGTTTTGCTGTGAGTCTAAAATTGCTCTAAAAGTTTTAAAAATATTATGACTTTCATAGTTTCTTTTGGATATTACTGCTCTGAGTAATATAGTTAAAAGACAGAGATTGTTAAGCTGGATTAAAAAGCAAGACCTAACTGTCTTAGAATAAAGTTGAAGTACAAAATCACAGGCTAAAAGTAAAAGGATGTAGAGTTACATCGATACAGACAAACCAAAAGAAATTATGGTCATGTTAATACGTGACAGTGAAATTCAACACAGGAGCATTACTAAATACATAAAAGCATATTTCATAAAACTGAAAGGATCAATTGTTATAAAAATGCTGGAATTCCTTAATTTGTGTGTTAGTAAACAGAGCTTCAAAAGCATGTGAAGAAAAACATGACTGTATGAAAAAGAGAAACAGAAATCCACAATCACAGTTTTTTTTTTTTTTTTAGCATCCTTCATAGTAATTGATAGGACATTGTATTCCCCCTCCCTAAATAAAAGGATGTTATAGAGAATTTGAACAAGGCTTAGTCACTTCGGCTTAACTCACATTTATGAACTTAGACCCAGTAACTGCGAAATAACCTTTCAAATGTATATGTGATATCCATCATGATAGAGGATATAATGCATCATAAACTAAAAAAATTTGAAAATGATTAAAAGCTCATGGTCCCTGATTTTAATGGAATTAAATTAAAAATGAAAATTCTAGGAAAATGCCAAATATTCAGAACTTAAAACTGTAGAATACTGAGTAATTCACGAATCAAATTATGAAAATACTCAACACACACTCAAAACAATAGCTATTCTCTTGAAATAGCCAACGCAAACTCAAAACAGTAAGCTATTCTCTTAATAGGTTTAGGCAGGCTTTTGCTTATGGGGGATTATATTTGAGAATCATTTGATGGGGGAAGCCTTAACTGATGGTCTTTTAAATTTTTTTAAGTTTTTCTTTGTAAATTATTTTTTTTATAGTGCTGTGGATTGAACCCCAGAGGTCTTACACCTGCTAGGCAAGTGCTCTACCATTGACCTACATCTCTAGCCTTGGATGTTTGAGACAAAAATCACAGTAAATAGTCCAGGCAAACCCCTAACTCGCTATATTCCTGCCTCTCTCTCCTAAGTGCTGGTATTATAGGTGTGTGCCACCATGTCTAGTATGTACTGTAGTATCTTCATTGTTTCTCTTCCCACCCCTCAGTTTTTTCCCCTTTGTCATTCTCTCAGAAGGAAAAGGACAGACCAAAATAGAAGAACATGAAATTTGTTATTTTGAGTATTCGCAAACCATAACTCATGGAGCTTGAATTATGGAGTATTTGTTCTTGTTATTTAAGCAGACTAAGGAATAGGAACAAACTTAATTTTCTGTGCTTGAGACTGCTTTGTCACGTAAAGGCATGATACCATGCCTCCATCAGAAGACTGTCAGTTAAGTGTTTTAACATACATGTGTAATTTTTGATTCCTTGCTTTTACATAGATCAGATGGTGATTTTGTTAGATAATGTAGTACAAAAATAGATTTGTGTACATAGAACATCTCCCTTAATAATAAAAGGAGGTGTGGATACAGTCCCTGTGGGGTTTTTTTCTTCTCTTTTTTTTTGGATTTCTGGAACATAGAAGCACTAGCCAGCAAAGATTTCCAGGATAACATATTCAGAAGCTGGAGCTTACTACTATTCTGTACAAAAGCAGTGTAAAGGAATTACTAAATGCTTTGGCTGCTCGTGTGTGTGTGTGTGTGTGTGTGTGTGTGTGTGTAAAAGCCTAACTGAATCTCTCAGAGTTAACCTTTTCTGGTTGTCTAATGTCTAACAAAATCATAGCCAAGACCACCTCCAGAGTTCCACATGAACGCCGTTAATTCTCACCCCTGTACTTCACTTTCTCCATAGCAGGTTCATATAATTACTAGCCTAGAGCACCAGGGACCATTCATTGTGTCCACTGCTGCTTTTTCATAAACAGGAACACTACCAAGCATGTCCCTAACACTCACTAAATGTTTAAAGAGAAGACATTTAAGACGTGGAGATGGTCTTTGAGTCTTATAAACAACCTTGGATATTTTGAGGGGTGTCATAAAGTACTGAGAATTTTATGCAGAATGTACCTGTATATTTTTGTTTCTTTCATTTTTCTTGTATACAAGAATGTATACAATGTTTTGAATGTATAAGATTCTTCATTTAAGTCTTAGAAATATCCTTGAGTACCAAGAAGATTAGGAACAACCAGTTTGGTGTAGTGGAATCCACTTTCAAACAATTCTACATGGATTTGGATAAGATTTTTATTTTGTTTTTATTTTGATAAGATTGTAATTTCTGGTGAAGCTTTGGAACAATTCAAGTAACTATATCAAAATATATATAAAGTGCAAAGTAACATAATTAAATTCATGAGTGATTTGTGGTAGGTTGATATTCACAGCCACATTTAGGTAGGTCTTTAAAGTTACGCGGCAGTATTAACAATCTGACAATTAACAAGAGGCTTCTTGTTATAGATGACTGGAATGCGGGTTTACTGCATAATCCTTTTATAACATTGTCTTCTTTCATCCTGCTGCTGATTGTGACATTTCCCAAGTTAAACAGTTTATAATTTCTCAGGAAAAATTATAATCTCCCTATTTTTTGCCAACCCAGGGTCTCATGCTTGCTCGGCAAGTGCTGTACCACTTGAGCCACAGCCTGGTCCTTTTGATTTTTAGTTCATTTCTTATATAGGGTCTTGTGCTTTTTGCCCAGGCTAGCCTGAGACTGCCATCCTCCTTCATCAGCCTCCTAGAAGTTAGGATATCCATGTGCGCCACCAGGCCTGGCCCCAAGAATTCATAAGTGTTAAGTGTTCACTGTTGTGTGATAAAATCTCGTGCTGTCCAGTTCATGTATGGGGAGGTAACCATCCCTTTGTCCAGTATGTCCACACATTATAAGTTATCTCTAGTAGACACTTAGTTGCCGATTCAGTTACAAGATGACTGTCGTGGGATCCAAGTGCTTGTGTGCAAGTAACCCTTATTTTACTTAATAAATGCCTGAAAGTACAAACTTGTATTTTAGTATACTGTTACACTTAGTGTCTTTGTAGCATTGGTGTTAGTCTCTTAACTGTAGCAAGTTTCTAAACTAAACTTCACCATAGGGGTGTGTGTGTGTGTGCAGAATATGCTACCAGGCATGAGCTCTGACTCTGGAGGACTTGGAATGTGTGCCATTTGGATGAGAGGAATCTGCTGTGTTTCCCTTCTTCTGTAAAAAACAAAACAAAAAACTGCATTCACCATGATTGTGTTCTTTAGTCACTGAGAAATTTGTTTGTGAATTTGAAGCTTAGTATTTATGCTAATCGCTTATTGCTCTTTGCGTATGTTTTCTGATGTATATTATGTAGCAGTAATCGTACTAATTGGTAAGTTAATTATAAGATTTTTCTCCATTCTTTTGAAAGCCCAGGATTTGAAGTTTTAGGAATTCAAGTTTACTCAGCTATGTTTTTAAGTTATTTTTATCTTTACTTTGTAATTTTTTTTATGCAAATGGGACAATACATTTTATATTAATATATACTAACTATAAACTTAAATGTCTTTCAGCCAATGGTAATGATAGTAAGAAATTTAAAGGAGAAGATAAAATGGATGGTGCTCCTTCTCGTGTACTTCATATTCGAAAATTACCTGGTGAAGTGACAGAAACTGAAGTGATTGCTTTAGGCTTACCTTTTGGTAAGGTGACTAACATCCTTATGCTGAAAGGAAAAAACCAGGTACACTTCTTTCAAGGTTTATAAAATGTCAAAGCCCAGAGTGCACAGCATGTGAATTAACTGTTGCTAATAAAAGGGTTACTGTCCTAGCAGATATGAAAGACATCTTACTCTAATTTTCCTGGTAGATGTGTGGAATTCACATTTATAACTGATTCTGAACAGCTGTTAAAATGAGATTGTGGAAAATGACAAAGTGTTTATTTTATTGTGGCTCTGTTTGTGATATCAGAAATGAATAGGGGTGGCAGTAGGATCTTAGGCTTCAGCTTTTCCCATGAAAATATTTTTTAAAACATTTTTATTAGCATTTATTAGTTATACAGGGGGTTTTATGAAAATATTTCTTTGGTAGCAATAGCAGAAACTAGTCTTTAAATTTGGATATTCATTCAGTGGATAGAATTCTATAGCATTAGAGCCCCGGTGTATTAATAAGAAATTTTGTTTTATAATTTCTAGTGATACTATTTGGAAGAATTTATAAAATCTAGCATTCCCTTGAACATATTTTAAATTGTTTTCTTTGTCCCACTACTTTTTAAATGAGACCTATTCTCTAGAGTAGGAGTGGTAAAATTCTGATTTTAGAGGATGTTTATATTCTCTCTGGCTTTCGTCGATGCAAAGGTGTGGGTGTGTGTGAAACTATAGATGGAGCACAAAAGTAGTCATGTGGTCTTCCAAGGGCAGTTTAACTGTTTGCTTTAACCTTAGTTAGAGTTCTCATTGTACTTGTTAGAACTCGAAGGTTCTATTCTAGATAACTGATTTTTTAAATTAGCTGAAAAGATGACACAGGTATTTGATTTAAAATTCATAATCATTTGTTTATTCAGATGTAATTTGCAGTGTTAAACTCTTTGCTATTTGTATTTTCAGGCATTTTTGGAATTGGCAACAGAGGAAGCAGCCATTACTATGGTTAATTACTATTCTGCCGTGACACCTCATCTTCGGAACCAGCCAATTTACATCCAGTACTCCAACCACAAAGAACTAAAGACTGATAATACACTAAACCAAGTGAGTATGTATGGCTGCATAAGTGAAATGCCTGGCACATTTGAGGATTCTCAAGTGGTAGATATCAACAGAGAGTGTGAGCCATTGAGAATGTGTGTCTGCAGTCAATTCCTTGTTACATTTAAGGTGTTTCATGCATTATGTCCCTAACTACAGACTGCTACATTCATCTCAGAAACTTTGTGCAGCTTAATATTTTCATGTTCTAAACTAGTATTAAATGAATTGGTTAATTTTGAAATTCCTTTAAACCCCTGATCAAAAGTTTCTTTTCTTATTAAAGGGAAAATTTTGTATAAAAACTAGGGCTGAATGGTATAGTTCATTAATAGAGCATGACCTCAGCATGAGATGCCCTGGGTTTAGACACCAGCACCAAACAAAAGACAAAGAAATAAGGTGGTGCTGTGGACAGCTTAGAGAAGACCCCACTATTCATCAGGCTGAGGTAGGAGGGTTCCTTGAGTCCAGAGCTGGTTAGAGGCCAGTCTGAGCAAAATAGATGTCGTCCTTTCAAAACAAACAAAAAAAACCGTTTAGTTAATTTATTTTATTTACTTTTTTATGGCAGCTGGGGGCAGGGGACGAGGTTTCAACTTGGGCAAGATAGGGTCTCATGTCCAGACCTTGATCCTCCTTCATACATTTCCCATGTAGCTTGAATGAGAGGTGCTCACCACTACACCAGTGTTTTTTGTTGAAGTACAGCTTACTTTTTTGCCCTGGGCTGCCCTGGAACCACAACCCGCCTGACCAGCTAGGATTACAGACCTGCACCACCACACCCTGTCCAAAGAGACTGCTTATGAAGTAGAGCTTACTGTTAGCGTGGCTTTAAGTTTATGAAATTCCCTGCCTTTGCTTATTTTTCTCTCTGTAGATTTTAGTTACGAAATCCTTTTAAAAATGAGTTAATGGTTTTTCTGCAGGAGAAAACTTAAGAATGGAATATGTATGAGTGTATTGATGCTTTAAGAATGGTATAAAAGATATCACTTAAATTTAATGTTAAAAATGATATAAGAATGTTTTTAATAACTTAAGTACATAGGATTATTGTAATGTTCTAAAAACTTTATCTCTTTTTTATTACAGTTTTTGAAAATAATATCTATTTCAGTAAAATATAAACTGCACCTGGCTCTTGGCTTTATTGAAGAGTTAATGGGGAGTAATTGCTTATCGATTTTCATCACTTCACAAAAAGTGACTTGGAATAATTTTAATAGTTTATGAAAGATAAGCTTGTAAAACTCATTGCCTAAAAGACAGGGCTGACATTTTGACATTTCAGTATTTTTCTTTTTTTGGAGTGGAAGTGATAGTAAAGTTCAGGAAAGGAACATGCTTTCAATATGCTGAAAGGTCATTTCTAGAAAGAGTGTGAGAATGAAGTATACCAAGAGAAATAACTGCTCTCTATTTTTTATATTTTTGTATTTATTATCTATGTTTAATTGAGATCATGTGGTATTTGTCTTTCTATGCCCAGTTTATTTCATTTAGTATCGTCTGTTCTCTTAAAATGTCATTAAATGTCTCAGTTTTGTCAGTATAATTCATGAGTACATTCTCATTTTTTAAATTTTTTTGTGGTTCTTGGGGATTGGACCCAGTGCTTTGAACATGTGCAGCAACCACTGAGCTATAACTCCAGCCTCACATTCTCATTTTAAAAAGATTCACTAGAAAGTATAGTGTAGATGAATAAAAAGAGGGATTTTTTCTAGGTTGACGTACATGGGAGAGAGTGACTTTCAGGGATGGGTGCACTAAACAGCCTTTGAAAAGGGACATTGCCACAATGAACTTGAGGGTGGTAGAGAACAAGTCACTTACTTCAGCCTTGGCTATTCCAGACAGAGGGAACTGTCAATGCAAAGTTTTTTCTGTGGAAAACATTTTTAATTTTTGAAAGGCCATCTTCTTTAATCATCCTTTTTACACTAAATTGTTCATGTCTTATGACTTACATTTCTTTGAGGATTGTAATGATAGTGTTTGAATTATCTCTTCTCTTAATCATTAGCCTTTATGTTTGACCTCTCTCTCCCTACCCTTCCCGTTTGTTGGCCTGTCAGAATGAGCAGTTAGATTCTGTTGGACTTGATGCTTTTCTCCAGGGTAAAGTAATATTCAGCAGCAGGAAAATAAGTTATGGTGTGTTCCCTTAGCGGAATACTGAGCCACAATAAGAATGAACAAGCCACTTGTACCTGCAAAATGCTGATGTATGCTTTATTGAGAGAAGCCAAATGGAAGATGGAAGTGAACACACATGAAGTGATTCCATTTAGATGACTGGGAGTCAGCAAGATTGTGACTGCTAACCATTAATAATGTTCTGCTTTTCATAGGAATAATCATTTCGCAGAGATGTCTCATTTGTTGCATTTTATTGAGCTCCATTCCCAGGATTTATGTCCTGTATACGTGCTATATTTTGATAAGTTCAGTTAAAGTCAAGGTTGGTGAGCCAGCTGTGCCCCATGAATTAAAACAAGCATGTGTGAGGTCAGTTTTTTACTGATAGGAGAGAATGTAATTGTTAAGCTTTAAAAAAAAAGCAATAAAGTGAACAATGTTGAAAACAAAAGCATGGAATAGATAACATGCACATATGAGTTTATGGCTTTAGATGGTATTTCTGTACGCAGTGCCTGCATTGGTGAGAGGTTGGCCTGGGAGAGCCGACTTAGGTGGCAGAGGTGCACCTGTCTATCAGTTAGATTTCATATGATCATGTAATTCCTATTTTAAGATGATGTTTCGTTATTTATAACTGGATGTTAATGTTTTTCAACTGTGTGATAATTTCTTGGTGGTTGTTATAGATAAGTACATGTCAGGAAAAGTTCACTACAGAAAGCTATAATACTGCCATTAGCTACTTAAGATATTTTATATTCAATCATTTAATGAAATAAATGATGTTCTAGAGACCTTAATATTTACTTTCTTTACAATTTATTTTCTATGCTAGTATTATGGTATATTTTGTCTTAAAATGTGCTTGAGTGGAATTACTCGAACTTGTGTATGAGTTTGTAGTTCACATTATTCAGTTAGCATTTCAGTGAGACTTAACCTAGTTAACTATGTGGACTTTTTGAGTCTCAACCACAAGATCCCTCTTGTTCCTGTTAGAGTCCCATTTCCTTTACGTTCTCTTTCCCTCTCATTCAGCACTTTACTATGCTTAACTTATTTCAGATACAAACTTTTATAACCATAAATAATGTAAGTGACATATACATTATGTATATGCTTTTGTTAGGTAAGGTAGAAGTTACTCCTTATCAGAGAAGCTGTCACAATAATAGGAAAGACATCATTGTCAGCAACATGACTCTAATAATAATAAGGGCAATCTTTTGGAGCATTTGACATTTGATTGACAGATTTCCTAAAATACTATACTTTTCAATTTTTATATGTATATTTTTTCACATTTACAGATGTCAGAAATCAAGATGTCTTATAGACTGATTGTAGTTTAATTGGTAACATCTTATTCACATATAAAATAATATTTCATTTTACAATTGGCAGTGTATTAGATACCATAAAATGTGTGGGAAATACCCTTCATGTTATATCTTGAAATCTTCCTGAACATTTTATGCTTTTACTAGAGAACACATTAATTTTTCTAAAAATTTCAGGTTAGTAAAGTATATTTTTATCCCTGGTGTCCATTTGTTAAGATTGTATTAGAAATAACAAGCTTAATAGTAGCTTTTTTGAATCATCAATCCCCTTGTTGTCATGTACCTGTTTTATGGAGTGAACTAAACTTTTATTATTCTTTAGAAGTTTCTGTTTGAAACAATGTTTTGGTTATGTAAATCTGCCAAACTACATCTTAACTCTTTCAAGAATAAGTTACCTTGCCTAGTTTTGCTTGTCAACATGGTGCCAAATTTACATAACTGCTTTTAAACAGATACCAGTATAGTACTTGAATTACAAGTACACAGTGAAATGTGTAGCAAAGTGTTGGTGGAAATAATGGGAGTATTTCTAAATTTCTTGTCTTTTCACTTGCAGCGTGCTCAAGCAGTTCTTCAAGCTGTGACAGCTGTCCAGACAGCAAACACTCCTCTTAGTGGCACCACAGTTAGTGAGAGTGCAGTGACTCCAGCCCAGAGTCCTGTTCTTAGAATAATTATTGATAATATGTACTACCCTGTAACACTTGATGTTCTTCACCAAGTAAGTTTAATTTAGTTTACATGCTTACCTGTGGATTAAAGAAATAATAATAAGTAATATTTTGCTTTTAATGTTTTAACAGATATTTTCTAAGTTTGGTGCTGTATTGAAGATAATCACATTTACAAAAAATAATCAGTTTCAAGCTTTGCTTCAGTATGGTGACCCAGTGAATGCTCAGCAAGCAAAACTGGTGAGTCCAGGGCCGCTTTTGACAGAGCGATTGTCTTTTCGTTGACATGTGGCTTTGGTGCTGACGCAGCCTAGCAAGGACATAGGTAGCATTATAGATCATTTCAAGAAAGGGCCTTAGTTCAAAAATAAACCTTATAATTGTAATAAAAAGATGCTTATTTCTTAAGAATAATTAGCTGTAGTTGCCATAATAGTCTTGCATTATCTTACATTTTTGTTTCATTTGGTGCAGTTTGATGGTTTTGAGAAGACTGTATTGTACATGCACACCTGTGTAAGATTGTAAGTAGTTTCCAGTGGTAGTTGAAAATAATTTAGTTTTTAGATAGTTTGGATAAAATATATCAATATGAATGTACTTCAAATCCTATCGTAGGATGTAGTTATAAGACTATATTCTTTTTTACAGATTTTCTTAGAAGTCAGGTTTTCTGAACAGCTTTTCAGTCTCTGAGTTTAGGTCATTCATTTTCTTTCATCACATTATATCTGGACATCAGGAGGCTTTTAAAAGAAGTGCAATTTTCCCATGTTATGACTACTGCCGAAGGCTGCATACCGCATCTTCGCTTACAAATGCCTCATTTTTGCTTTTGTATATCTCAGTTCTGTTTTTAACTTCTTGTGTCATCTTACCACATCATCATTATTACTCCCATTAAAGCATTATTATAGAGTTACTAAGCCAGCTCTCTTTACTTGTTTAATCCATTGTCTTTTCTCCCTTTCCTTCTCTACATTTAGGCCAATTGTGTTCTCCAGTGCTTCGGTGCATCCTTCAAGTCAAAATTACTTACACAGGACTCAAACCATTTTGTTTCACTGCATTTCCATCCTTAGTATCTCCTTTGGGGAATAAAAATATCTATAGGTAGCAGAAAGGCTAAACTAGTAATAATAGCATAACTGTAGTAGTTTACCAAGTACTCATCAGTTTTTTCTGACCCTTACTCTATATTGTAAAGAGAACAGGTTTATTTTTCCCTTTGTTACAAAAGATGTAAAGAGATGAATTATTTATCATCATGCACACAGTCTACAGAATAGACATTTTTCAGTTTACCTTTCATGCAGTCTTTCTTGACAGATTGCTACTCACTGGTTCTCATGTTGTATACTTTGATCTTATTATGCTGCTTCATTGGCCTTCTGACTACACTCACCACTTCAATAGCTTTCCCCACTTCGGTTACTTTTTTTTTCAGAGTCATAAAGTGAGCTCAGCTTAACGTCATATTGCTTCAGTTCTCAGTGTTCTTCAGTGACTACTTTTTCCCTTAGGGTAAAGTCTAGTAATTAACATAGCTTATGACACTAAATCATTCCTTAACATGCTTCTGCAGTCTCATTCCCTCCCTTTTCAGCTATCTTTAAATCGTTTTCATATGTTGTGTTTTCTCTGATGTCTCAGGCTTCCAGTTCCTCATTCTATTTGTTACACTTTTTTTCTCTTCATTTGCTTATACCCATCTTCTGCTGCTTTCTCTTTCAATTATGTGTGGAAGTCACTTCTCAGACAAGTCTTTCATATTCTTTCACCCAGATTAGATCTTTGTAATTA